TGGATTTGCAGAGCTTGGTGAGGGGCAAGCAGAGCCGAGGGGGAACTGTGATCTCAGCAAGACGCAAGGGGAGAGCTCTGAGACCTGAGCAAGGGAGCACTGGGGTCACCCAGGTGCAGGGGGCAGGCAGGGAAGGGCAGGGGGACAGGGGCAAACTGGTCAATTGACCATTCAAATACTGTCAATTGACAAGTCAATTGACTACATATTTTTGGCTAGTCAAAGATTATAGCAGTTTTACATAACAATTACTTTTGTAGTTTTCTTGACAGAAATATGATTTTTTTAAAATATATTTCTTAACGGAAAATTTGTGCCTTTTCTGTATTATTTGGTCCTATTAGCAATTGTTTACAATTTTTGTCCAATATTTGACTAGTCAGATAACCATCCCTGAGTTTTTTTTTGCACCCTTAAACTTTCTGACAGAAATCAAAGGTTTCTTTGACTATTATTTAATTATATTAAATTAGCCATTCTGAAACTGTCCCATACCACTTCTTAACCAAGGCTTCCTGTTGTAATCCTTCTTTTAATCCTAATTCCCTACCTTCCCAACAAAAACCACATGGTTTGGTTAAGTGAAAAAGTAATGTTAGAGCCTGACATTTAGAAGACAGTGAAAATAAAAATGTTAGTGTGAAGAGCACAAGTGCTTAATCCCTTTTAATTTACATCATTTGTTGCCCCTTTACTTTTCTCATTAGACTTCCTTGCTTATTCTGGAAACTTTCTAGTCATAGCAATAGTGGGAAATTTTAGATTTTTGCAGTGTTAAAATATTATTACTTGTAAATAATACATGAAAAACCTGAAGCAGGCAGGATAAGTGAGTAAGCAAGAGTTAGGATTACTAGGTCAAAAAAAAACAATTTAAGAACCCAGGCCTTGGAGTAAGCTAGGCTGTGGTTACAGGAGGTACTATAAGATGGTCTGTCTTGTTTACAGCTTATAAAGCTATCTAGGAATAGTCTGGAAACTATTGTAGTAGTTTGTTTAGTGTGTTTGATCTGGGTTAAAAAAAATCTAGTGTGAAGATTAACTATCAGTGGTATAAGATAAGTGAATCAACATTTAAGGTCCCTAATTATGAGTGGAAAGGTACCTATTCAACTATTTCTAAAATAGTAATCAGTTCTTTAAAGGAACACAGTTAAAATAGGTAATACATGTTGTTAAAACTTTGGAGTTTTCCTTCTTTATTTTTTTTATTCATTTACCAGTATTTATTTATTTTTATTTCTTGCAGCTTGGACAGTGAAAGTAGATAAAAGGCATGCTTTTATTTGTTCAGTCAGCATATTAAGTTAAGTGCTGCACTGCCTTAGTTTTAAAACCTATCTTCAGTAAAATTTAAAAAAAAAAGAGTAATGGGAGCACTTCTATTGGCCTTGCTTTGAGTAACAGCATATTGTATGGAACTTACATTTTGGTAAGGTTTAATGAGGATTCGTTTAACCTGAACTTTGAGTGCATTCAGAAATTTTACAAAGGGTGATTTAGAACCTGTAAGAATAGCAGCACAGATTTGGCTGGATAGCTGTATCTCTTACCTAAGTCCTACTGTTTTTTTTTCTACTGATGTGTGGTAATATAAACAGCAAAAATAAATGTTGTTATTTGGGAAACAGTATTGTACTGTAGAAGTTAGGCCTGGGCATTGGGAGATCTGGGTTCTGTTTCTCCTATCTCTGCCACTGTTTGGTTGTGTGGGCAGGTTTTTTTGTGCAAGATGTTGCATAAGAATTAAGCAATGGTTTCGTTTTTGTTTACAGGCAGGCTGATGGTCGTAAGGTCCTGCGGTCAAGTATAAGAGAATTCCTGTGCAGTGAGGCTATGTTTCACCTTGGAATACCCACAACAAGGGCTGGAACATGTGTAACATCTGACTCTAAAGTTATTCGGGATGTATTCTATGATGGAAATCCAAAACATGAAAGATGCACAGTTGTCCTGAGAATAGCTTCCACTTTTATAAGGTAGAGAAACCTATTTTTCAAATTCTTTTTCAGTCAAAGCCAGCTTCCTGGTATTGTTAGAGACAGCGTGCGTTCATCTGTGTGCAATTCTCATCTTAAGATCTTAGCTCTCTGGCATTAGGTTGTGGAAATCTGGGCTCTCTGTGGAACAGATGGGATGTGCCAGTATCTTTGAATGCTGCCAAAGTTAATATTAATTTGTTAGGGAGTCTGGTACTTTTGGAATGGGAACTGTTTATGTTCCATACATTTAAAAAGAAATATTTTTTTCATGCTTAGCCAAGCAATTACAAAGAAAAGCTGTCTCTGTTATTCCTAGTATTTGTAGATTATGGAGACAAGACCGTTTTAAAACCTGCTTGAGGAAAGGTTCTACATCAAGATACACTTTAGGTAAATGTGGATCCTGATAAATGTTACTTTACAAAAGCATTCTCTTGATTGGTGAATGTTGTTAGAGTGCCTGCTTGAAACCTTGAACTGTGTTAGGACACCATGAAGATCTATAATTTTTTTTCTCACAAAATAACAAGGCTAGCAAAAGGATGAGGATTAGGGTATATATAAAAAATCTGGAAAAATCTGTCTTGTGCAAAAATGGTAACTTGCAGGATTGGTTTCCATTTGATGTACAGTGTTTTGCTTTAGTGTGATTTTTCCATTCTTAAATGTTTACCATATAATTACTTTTGTATTGAATCACATTTGAAAGAAACTTCTGAGAATTGTACTGTAATACTAACTGAGACCAGTGATCCTGTTATTCTCTTCATGGGGCACGCATTCACTAGAGTGTCATGAAACCACTGAGGCTCAAATAGGGCTATATTACAAGGTTGTGCTCTCAGTCATTAGACCCCCGACTACAACACCATAACTCTGAACAGTTATGTATTTATTGTAGGTGTAATATAACTGATTTAATATGTGTCAACATTATTTAAAAACAGGTTTGGATCATTTGAGATTTTTAAACCTATGGATGAACATACAGGACGGAAGGGTCCCAGTGTCAACCGAAATGATATTCGAATACAGATGCTTAACTATGTGATCAGTACTTTCTATCCAGAAATCCAGCAGGCTTATCCTGACAACACTATTCAGAGGAATGCTGCTTTCTTCAGAGAGGTAGGAAGGCTGACAGTTTCCTTTCATAGAAGTCACAGAAGCAAAGTATAAGATCATTTTATCTTATGAGTAACATGGGGTGAAATAACGATTTCTGACTATTTTGCCTTTTGGTTAACTTAACTTTTTTGTTTTGTTTTTGGAGGAAAACTCTTGGTGGAACTATATTTTGAAAGTGTACTTAAGAGTCTTGCTTACCTCCTCACCAGCAAATTGAGGCTTTTAGCCAGCTGCACAAAACTATTCTCTTAGCAAGTTGAGTCTAAGGGTGTCAGGGAATTTTGGACCTGATTGACTGCTGATGAGGTGAGGTTTTAAAGTATCAAAATGATTGGTCTCCTCCTGTTATATAATTTGAAAAGAGTCAGTCGAAAACAATTTATCTTCAAGGTTTATAACTCAATTTTTCAAAGTTGTAAACAATATTTTGGTTCCTACAGTAGTCATGAGTTGAACCCCTTGGGCGCATTCCCCTGAGTGGGAGCGTGCGTTTCCCTGGGGACAAACAGCAGCAGCATAATGTTTCATAGTTGGTAGGGTGGGAAGGGACCTGAGCAGATC